CGTTTACTAAAAGCCGAATGCTCCTGTCTCTTATTTCCCATTAGCAGCCATTGGCATGTACATTGAGCACTATTTGACAAAAAAGGGTTGCTGCGTTATACTCACTGGGTGTAACCTCCTTAGTTTTAGAAAGGTTTAGCGAGCGTTTACCTATTTACCTATGTCGTTCATTCGCTTCACGTAATGCCAAATTTATATATGTGACGCTAGTGAAACGGCCACGAGCGCGTTATGAGTGTGGCATGTAATCATGCGGTTACAGGACACGCATCTCAAGATTATCATATTTGCACCAGCCATATACCTTCGTCAATTATTCACGTACTGCAATACCAAATTTGGCATATGTGACGCTAGCGGAACAGCCGTGAGTGCATCATGAGCTTGGCGTGTAGTCATGTTGTTACATTACACGCATGTCATGATTTTCATATTAGGGTCTGTCGCTTGGGTTCGTCATGCAATCATACCATACCACACCAGTTTTGCAACATGCCATGTGAATGAAACCACCGCAAGAGCAGCAAGATCATGAAATGTAAATCATGACATTCATGACATACATGTCTTGATATTACCGTTATGACTAGTCAAATTATGCTCGGCATATAGTCATGTTGTGCCATACCAAGTTTGGTATTGATACCATTATCCAAATGGCCAGGAGAGCTAAAAGTCGTAGGTGGCTAGATAGATAGATAGATAGATAGATAGATAGATAGATAGATAGATAGATAGATAGATAGATAGATAGATAGATAGATAGATAGATAGATAGATAGATAGATAGATAGATAGATAGATAGATAGATAGATAGATAGATAGATAGATAGATAGATAGATAGATAGATAGATAGATAGATAGATAGATAGATAGATAGATAGATAGATAGATAGATAGATAGATACGCTCTAAGTCGCCGAAGTTCGCTAAGAAATGCTTCGCATATAAAAGTAAGCTTTGTTTGTTGGTGTTTACATTTTTTTTACACTAGGGTGCAGCGCCATGTTCAGCATGGAGCCTAGAGCATAACCATATTCGCGCGGTTCGCTGAGAATCATGGCCACGTTTTCACCACGTGCGTTTTACGGTGGTACTTTTAGTGAATGTGGAGATGGGTTTAGCGAGGAAGAGAAGAATGTGTCTCCACCTGACACTGATGACAGTGATTCGACACAGATGTATGGCGGAGGCGACTACGAAGGCGGTGGAGACACCTGCCGTAACAACTCTGGCCTGTACCCAGAACACTTTGAGCGGTACTATATGCTGCCCAAATATCGGTTACCCAAGTCTCCTGTGGAATGCAGGAGCAAAAAAATGGCAGCATTTCCACGGAGTGAATGATGGAGAGTGGGGCAAAGCATTCGTCCGTCCATGCGTCCGTCTGTGTGACCGTCCATGCGTCTGTTCGTGCGCCCATCCCTGCGTTCGTTCATGCATCCGCCCCTGCGTCCATTCATGCGTCCATCCATTCATCTGTCTGTGTGTCCGTTCGTCCATCTATTCTACACTCCAAGTCCCACCATCTCGCATCTTTTTATCATATATTCCCATATAGAAGCACCGCCATTCAGTGGACATTCCAACGACTAAACGAGAGGTGGCACACGCACACTTTCTTACGGCTTGCGCTTCAGGTCTACTTCCCATCTTGAACCACCTTGAGTTCATGATATATACTAGTTCACTGTATTCATGGCACTGCGGTTCAATGCTCGCTAAACCTTTCTAAAACCAAGGAGGTTACGCCCAGCGAGTATAACGTAGCAACCTTTTCCTGTCAGATAGTGCTCAATGTACATGCCAGTGGCTGCTAATGTGAAATGAGAGACAGGAGGATTCAGCTTTTAATTTCTTACGGCTTGCGTTTCGTATCTGCTTCCCCCCTTTAACCACCTCGAATTCATTCATGGTATATACTAGATCATTGTATTCATGGCCCTGCGGCTCAACGCTCGCCAAACCTTTCTAAAACAAAGGAGGTTACACCCAGCGAGTATAATGTAGCAACCCTTTCTTGTCCGATAGTGCTCAATGTACATGCCAATGGCTGCTAATGGGGATCGCAGCGTGCGCGTTGACTAAATGCCGAATGCTCCTGTCTCTCATTTCCCATTAGCAGCCATTGGCATGTACATTGAGCACTACTTTTTATTGTTAAAGAACGCACAGAAGAAATCTCTCACCGGTACCACCTTGGAGGTCAAATGTTATACCTATTTCGGGTATGTGCCACTGGTGGTTACGTACTACGAGGGACGCCCAAGCCACGCCATAAGGAGCTTCGCCCCTAAAATAAACGTGGTGTGAGTATTTCTTCCACAGTTTGTTTTTTCTTCACGGTGCCTGAAACTGGCAAAGTAGTTTCGGGCCAGTGGAGCTGGAAAGTGGTTAGACGTTTTAGACCGCAAATGGTTATTGTTGTGTTGCAGAATTACTTTTTCAATACTCGATTTTATTTCAGGGTTCTCTATTGCTTTTTTCTCTTTGTGGCTTCGCATTCGTCAACTACTCGCGCCATGTCAACGTGGCAGCGTATGCTGGTCGGTGCGTCCCCGCTGATTCTAGCGGCTGTTTTGCGAAAGTTGGTGGAAGCAGTGAGCTTGGTTGAAACTCGACAACTTCTGAAGAATCAGTGTTTCGCAGTAACATGAACAATGGTCTCACAGTGAACTAGGAAGCAATATCAGAGGCTCGATAGTGTTCATATAGGTACCAAGTTTGAAAACAGGTATTTACAGGGACTTTATACCGTCAGACATAAATGCCAAAATAGGCATTCACAGGCACTATAAGGACACTTTTACAGTGGTTACTGATCAGTCATTCCTGTTCATTCATTGAAGTGAGGCGATAGGAATGCCAGCAACAAAATAGTAATCAGCCAGAAATCAGATTATTGTTAGCTTGAATACGAAACATATCACAACATGCAGTGCAATGCTGTCTCACATATAATTTTTATTTGCATACCTCTGCACAGTGTTGCATTCCGTGGGCCACCCTTCTGCCACGGCCACCGCAACGAAAAAAAACGTTGCCAGCTCACTTAGTGGAGATGAATAGCAGCAGGAAGTTGCCCTGCTGTTTTCATGTAGTGGGCGGTGCGTGGTTCTATTGACTCGATGGAGCACTGCTATCGTTAAGGCCGGCGCAGAAATGCGACACGTGGCGTCTTCGTGCCCCAGGAAAAGCCACAATGCCGAGTTTTCGCCGAAGATTGACATCGGACCACCGCACTGTGTGTGTCTTACTGATGAGCCACCGACGCTCACATCAGCACCACATGTCCAGGTATGGTCCCTCGGAGGCGCCTAGCCGCGACTGGCATTCGACAAAGCATGGGTGGTTGACCCGAGCAGCGAGATGACAACCAGGTTTCACTCCACTAGCTAAAAGCAAGATTCGCCGGAGAAGGCAGCATCGTCGCGACCATACACGTGTTTGGTTTGTGTATGTGTGTATGCTGTGGGCAGTGTCGGAATAATGCTCCTGGTGGGCGTTGTGGGACCTTTTATAGGACAGTGCAGTATAGACCTATCCTTTACGTATAAATCTGGAAAAACTAGACTATTTAACAACCCTCGTGGGCTGCTGTGTACTTGTTCAAGTGTTTGTGCTATGAAAAGGCTTTCAATGTAGAGCTTCTCAATGTAGAGCTTCGGCCCAGAGAGCTCGTGCCATGTAAATAATGTAAATAAACCCTCTCTACTAAGTTCAACCTCCTCCTGCCCCGGCATCTTCATGCCGGATCTCCGGTGCCAGCAAACCCCAGTCGCAACAATACATTGAGTCAGGGCTAAAATTTTGCAGCATAGTTGAAAGTTTTTATATATCCGCGCTAAATGATAGACTTGAGATATAACTACTAAAGCGTAAGGTTCTTTCTAGCACAGTGTTTGACGTAAAATTTTGTCTTTGAAAGACTTTGTTTGCGGAGCTTCTCACGTAAACTGAATGCAACTGCTCAACTAGGCCAATGACTTTTTTTTATTTCATTGAACACATTAAATACTTGTGAATGTTACTAGTGAACAGTGCAACAAGGTAAAATATTACGAAAAATCAAACAAGGTCATTCTAACACCCAAAAACAAACACCAATCTTCGCAAGTTTCTTTCCAATGAACCATCAGAAATAGAAATGAACACCGACATCAATGCGACAAAGCACCAATGGGGAACGCATATATTAGGAAAGCTCTATATTGAAACGTGTACGCTACTACACACATGTTGGGCCAACGCCTCCTCTAGAAAGATGCCTGAGGAATGGCTCGCGCTCCCAGCGGAGTCGGCCTGCCTTCATTTTTAAAGAAGCCCCACGCGGTGGTGCTCGCGACCGACACTATCATCATGGCAGCGGGAGGTACCAGCTAAGCGTTTTTCATCTGCGGCCCACAGGGGCGCGTTAGTCGAGAGTTGTTCGAGACCTGAAACTGTGCACCATTGTTTCGGAGGCTATGCAAAGTGTTGCGTTGTTGCACTGTCTGCCACAGGTGACGCTAGCGACCGAGAACATTTTCAAAATGAAGGAGAGAAAGAGTGCGGCAGTTGTTTTTCTTCTCATGCGGAAGGCATCTTTCTAAAGGAGGCGTTGGTTGGGCACGCGCCCTGTGAGAGCGTGCGTGCGTGCGTGCGTGCGTGCGTGTGTGTGTGTGTGTGTGTGTGTGTGTGTGAGCATGCGTGCGTGCGTGCGTGTGTGTGTGTGGGTGTGTGTGCGTGTGTGTGTGTGTGTGTGTGGTGTGTGTGGGGGGGAATTTTTTAACTCTGTATATCAAACAACCATGATGTTCTTTTTTTCATGTAAGAATAATTTTCTGTGGATGAAGTCTGCTCTACAGAGATTTCTCTGTCATAAATTCTGTTTTATATTGAGTTCAATCGGATGTTGTGTTGTATTGTTCACATTTTCTATTAATTACAGAAAAGCTGCCTTTGACCTATTCTGTAAAAAAGCATTGGTGACAGTATCAATACACAAAAGAAGCAAAATTCAAAACAAAAAAGACAGGTTATCTTCAAAAAGAGCAACAAATACTCGGCACCAATCTTTTCCCATTTCGCAAGAACAGACGTTCATTTCGATCACTAATATCTCGAACTTTAGTTCATCAAGAGTATATTTGAGCAACTTCAATACTGTGCATGGTATAAGTGCCTTTCTTCCGGATTTTGTTTTTCAGATGTCATCCACTTGATTTTGGCAGAGCTCTTTTGAGTACTCTTCCTCAGTGACGTCACAAATATCCTCGAGATGGTCTAAGCAGTGCTGGGGAACGTCATCTTCTACTTCCTTAGAAACCCAGAGCTGGCATTCTGTTAAAAAGAATGCAACACAAACAAGCGAAAACAGTAAATAAATTGGTCAGCCACAAAAACCCATTAACACAAGTTGATATTCATTCATTTATTTATTTGAGATACAACTTTTAGGCCGAACGATGTCAAAGAGAGCAATATTAAAAATTAGAACTACCTTCTCCAATACTTTTATTTTCATCGTTATTCTTTTAATATTAAATGTATATAACGAGAGTTCGGTACCAATGCGTGACGCCAGCTACTTCTGTTCTTTTGCATAGAAGTCAACATCGCATATTTGGCAACAAGCACAAGGCTACACATAGGTACATAGCAAAACACTTAGTTCTTGCATGTACGGTGTTCAGCAATAAATGCCGTCAAGTCATGTCTGCTTACTAGAGATATGGTTTTGGCATTTGTTTATTCACGCCTTATTGTCACACGATAACAAGAACATTTAGTTATTGTCAAATCTGGGCAATGTACTACTGACTCATCAGTAACGAAGTTTGAACGTTGCATAGACCCCGGATTCGTATAGGCACAGTAGGTCGCAAAACCTGTATTTCTTACTCGTTTGCCTAAAAAATACACTAATGCGCATTATTTCAGGACATCCCCTGATTTTATTTGTTATTCTTTCAGTAAGCTTCGATCACCACTTTAGCGTCAGTATGTGCCAATAAGTATTTTATAATTCATTGCCAAAGTAATCGGGCTTCAGTGCCGAAGAAACCAGAATCGAGATCAGCCAACCAGAGCTCGATGGGCACCGTTCATCGATGACGTCTTTTGTGCCACATTGAAGCAGCAGCTGTTAGCCTATCGAAGCATCCCTTTCAACAGTTATCTTTCACGCGCATGAGCCTATATAAGTGTGAGTGAATATCCTACCCTGGCCAAAATTGGCGGTAGCACTCATGATAGCGCGGAGTGGTTCTGGTGAATCACTGTCGCTATTTCTTTAGCACTTATGCGAGCATGCTCCACAGCATGTACCAAGCCATGACACTCAGGTCACATGGGTACCCTTCAGCCTTTTCAATGAGTACGTCTGTCTGAAGCAACAATTTTTCCTATCCATGCAATTGCACCAACATTGACACGCCTCCTGAAAAGCACTTTGCATATGTTACAGATATTCTCGATATTAGAACATCTTTCTAGATGTTGTTCAGCTCAATACCTCTCCCTATCACGGGGTAACAGACGAGAGCATCAGATTAACTGTCACGCATTAGTATAAAACACCCGTACTAAGAAAGAAAACCTGTTAGATAACATTGTATGGTTGTCAAAGTGCGATGCAATATCTCTTACGATCTCCGTCGTAGGGAATCTCCACAATGACGCAGTCTTTATAGTCCGTGTACACAAAGTGGGCAACCTTGGTATTTTTGGTGTCTGCAAAACACGCATTGAAGCATGAATAATCTTGTTACGTTAAATGACTAGAGTGTCATATTGTAGAACTTAATTTTAAATGCGAAGCATTTCTTAGCAAACTTCGGCGACTCTGATCATATCTATCTATCTATCTATCTATCTATCTATCTATCTATCTATCTATCTATCTATCTAGCCGCTTACGTTTGGGTGCTCTCGTGGTCGGCCCCTTAACGTGGCGTGAACCAAAATAAGCATGGGAGTGTGAGATTGTTTGACTAATGTGGAGGCTGATTGAGACATGAATAATTTCACTATCCCATCGCGTACGTCGTCATACACTTCCCGCCAGACAGTGGCACATACCCATGGTCGGGTATGTGAAGCTAGTATGCAGGTATCTGTCACAGGTGATTGCCACTTAGTATCTACCCAAGAATGACGACAACACACATGGGCAATTTTAACGCGCGAGCGTTAAGCAATACCCGACATCGGTAGCGCCGACCCGACGAATGCACAGAATAAATATCAGGGGCCGAATTCACAAAGCTTTCTCTTTGGCTACGCATTTTCTCAGCCAAAAGTTCTCTTATCTGGAGGAATTACTATAGCGCGGGTATGAATTTAACTTATTCGGCACTTAAGAGGGCAAGGAGGACACACGATAGCCGATGAAACGGCAAGGAAAGAAAGAAGTGTGTGCCGATAATATCAAGGTAGCACGCAAAGCGTCTAGCATCGAGAGTATATGATGATAGCGAATGATTTCCTGCATCTAAGTTTCAGTTCCGCGAGCGTCTGCTGCAGCGCTTACGGGATGCCGCGTACGTTGTAATAGACGTTTTGGTGGGCTGTGCAAAGCCAAGCACTCGCCTTTAATCAACGACTGTAGCTAAAAAAAATAATTGCTCGATGGCCTTAAGCCACCGAGCAATCCATGCACTATCTCGCCAAGTACAAGTAAACAACACTCCAGGTGTACCACAGAAATGAAACCACACATAAATCGATGCATGCAATGTTTCAAAATGTGCCTCGAATGTCTTCCCCTATTTAACGCGACCAGTTACCTTACATTTCATTGAAGCTGCGCTGCTACTTAACTAATTCGGTGCAATCTAGCACGGTATAGTGGTGAACGTAAGGGTGTTTTGTACCTATAGTCAAAGGTAGCCTTTGTTACAATATTCTTATTACAAGACACATGAGCGACTTTGGTGCCTGCAGGTGAATTGTGCGGAAATAGATAACAGCAGTAATCAAATGAAATTGTGAGCGCAATTTCGCTGGTTCCATGCACCGCAGCATTTTTATAAAGCCGGAATGGGAGAACGTGCATACGCTTACGCTTAGGTATATGTCTGCGTAAAATCAGGGAGACTCGTCGGGAGGTGTCTCAGTGCTAATGCTTTTCACAAAACACGGTGCAAATATTTCGCCCAGCGTTGTTTGAGTGCGCAAACGAAGCAAGGGACGTGTATACGAGTGTTGAGGTCGAGAGACGTTATCACACGTGCGAAAAGGATGAAAAGAGAGAGAAAGAGACTCTCGTTTCGGCTTCGCGAAAGCTTGAAATTGACAGATAATAAAGACAATTTTCCGGCCCACCAGACGTCAGGGAAAGTCTCCGCAAAGCAGGGTCAGATGCTCGGAGAGCATAAAAAAGTGGAGTACGCGTTATATGGGAGTGACAGCCACTCAGAAAGCGAGATGAAGTGTGACTGTCCTTAGGTAGGAGAATCAATGCTAATTAAGAGAGTTGAGTTAATGAGCCAAAACTTTCCTAAATAACAATAATGGAAGCAAACTGAGCATTCATCTAGTGAAAGTGACACTAGTGACAGTGAACTCATAATAGTTGATTAGCGTTGTCACAGGCCGATATATATTTTTATTTTCTTATCTATATTTGGCAAACTATGAGAAGGTAGCGTACGTTAGAGCCGGCTATCCCAACGTCATGATAGTAATGTACAAGAATAAATAGCGCACGGTTATACAGTCACACGTGGCGGTTTCTATCTTCTAGTAACCTTGGGAAAACGCATTCTAACTATTTTTTCTATTTTTGACAAAGTTTCACGGGACGTTTTTGCATTTGGCTTCATTCGAAGGAATGACGATATATCAGCAATAGGGCGAACACAAGCACTGCTGCAGTGGACGAGCGGTTACAGCGCTCAACTACAATCTAGGAGGTACTTGGTTCGATTCGCAGAATCACTGAGCACTTTCTTTTTTCAAGAAGTTGCCCGGCCTGACATTATGCGTGGTGGCGGGTACTAGTTTTTTGAGAAGTAGGCTTTCGCACTTGCTTCTTTCACTCCCTTTTTGACCCAAAAGCGCTGTACTGTGCTCCTTCAAAAATTAAACAATTCAGGGTTCATAATTTTCTCCTCCATCCTCTCTTATCGCAAAAGTGTCCAGTGCTGAAATACCAATATCGTACCTGGTATATTACTTTTTACGTGTTTGGATATTCGACCAGCAATCACTCTTCACGGTGTTTTGAAGAAAATCTACACATGCAGTGAGCTAACTGCTTGCAGCCAAGTTGACTGCCTTTGTAGGGACACGCTTTCGTGCTGATTTGGTGGGCATCATCACATGCAGCAAGACCAAAGAGCACGGACAGCTAGAGCTGACGCAAAGAGTGATTAGTTCGTGTCTTCTCTCCCGCTATTTGTCATGCTGCACGCTTCAGTGTAATGTCGCTGTCAATGGTTAAAATGAACTATAGCAGTTAATCGAGTTCTGCTGAGAGGGTCCCCTATTGTCCAGAATGGAACAGAACAATGCCAATTTGATTTGTGTGATAAAGAGATACCCTGCTTTTGGTTACTAGAATAAATTTCTAAACTGAAGTTGATTTTTTATTAACAACAGTTCCAGTGCAGATGAAAGGTGCATGGACAAAATTCGTGTATTCAGCTTGACTAGGTTTGTGACCTTAATTGTAATTGCGAACCGGTATCACAGTATGCATAAATATCACACACATATACAACCACGGGTGATAGCTTGCTTATTCTGATTAAAATTGAAAGGTTGAAATCGACATATTCAACCAACGCAATGTGTACGAGATATGCCATGTAGAGTAGCTATGCTCGAAACTAATCTTCGCAGGTTCGTTCCATTTTACCCAATTTCTTGCCCATGACTGTAGGTTGGTAAATGAAACTTCTTCGAACACACATATTCTGTGTAAGGTTACATTGATTTTTATGCAGTTCAAAACAAATTGAAATGTATAATGGCTCAAAAGAGAAATAACTAGACACAAATTCAGCCAAATCATTACCAAACTTACTCACCAATGATAAACGGATTGTCATTTAAAAGATACATACATACATACACACAAACATACATATACGCACACACACATATACATATGTACACCCATACATACACACACTCCGGTGTAAATATTAAAATGAATGGCTATAAAACAACAATTCTAATACACTCATTTTGAATCTACTACAGAAAGTAACTTACGAGAGAAATCCACCGGCACTGTTATGTCTGAACACGGTGTTTCTCGAACCATCTCGCAAAAGCTTGATGCATAGTTTTTCGCTGCAGCCCAGTGACAAGCAGTTTTTTTTAAAAAACACAAGAATAAAGCCCTTGACAATATCTTGCTAAAGAAAAGGGCTGTGCATCAATATTTTGTACATGTCTGCAATATCACTCTGTTTATTTACATAGCTTGGCTCATTCACAACCCACTAACAAAGCATGTTAGGACACTTGGGCTGAAAGTTGGCACAGCGCGAGTAAATTCTTGACAATACATGAATAATACAATTATAAGCTACTAAGCTCCTTGGTGCAAACAGTGTTTATATTGACAGCTATAAGTGCCATTTCGTTTCCCCAAAACACTTCTCAAAAGTAGAATCAACTTTATTTAGCTAAAAGTTTCTATTCTGGCGCGTCGTGGTGGCTCAACGGTGGAAGTGACTATTTCGGCCAAGAAAACAAAGACCAATTATTTTTCCAGTTCGTGAATTCACCCCATAATAACATTGAGGCAGCTGGTAGGAGTGCTTTTGGAGAGAGGAAACCACCACATTCCCACCAGTTGTGGCCTTGGGTAGCTACTTCACTTGGACAAAAATGATGAAAAACACTCCTCAAAAAGACTTCAAAGTTTGGGCATCAACACAGTTCCCATACAGCTGTCTATTAGTCTGCTTGAAAAATATTGAGTTTACTGGTGGGCAAAGACCGTACACCATGTGAGGTGATGCTCCAGTACACTGCATGTATGTCTTGCTGCTGGCCACAACTGCGATGTTGCAGTACATATGTGTAAAATAACAACTAATACTATGCCACTGCAAAGTAATTATGTGTCATTTGCATGAAACAGGGACCACAATAAAAGAACATAACAACATTTGCCTTCACAAAGTTCAATAAATGTAAATAAATTTCCACAGAGTTTTCACAGTTCATCTGTGGATAGTAATATTGGTTGTAAACACATTCTTACTTCCACTAACAAACCATTTTAAGATGCCAGATTCAATATTAGAGTATACCAGCACTTTTGTAGGGCTAAACAATTGTACAGGCACCTAGAAAAACACAAGTGAATGCATGCTATAGCTACATATAAAAATAAATACTTTTATTTCTAGTCTGAGTAGAGCTGCATAGATGATAAGTCACTTGCATTACATTATGAACAAACCTATCCGAGCAAAGTATACATTTAAAAAGTTACACTTACACAGTAGATAAGTATACTGTTGAAGGACGGATAGGCAGTGGGATAATACCCAAGCACTAAAATCTACTGTTAAGATATACTAGGAGTAGTGATGATCCTCTTCCTTCCAAATAAAATAATTCACATAGATTCACTTCCCAGAGCTTATACACTCAGGGCATCATTGGTGCTATACAAATGAGTGTACACTAAGGGATTACATCGACTAAGTACATGATTACTGCCTCCATGGCTTTACTTCATGTACTACAAAGAATGCAAACACAGT